GTTGTTGTTGTTGTTGTTGGCTGCAGACGTTCCGTGCATCCCATCAGAGGCCTATGCCAGCACAGAGGTGTGTCATTACACGCTCCTGGGGCCGGTACCTGAGTCCGAGACAGTGGCATCCCGAGTCCTGCCTTGGACAAAGAAGCACAGGCAGATTTCGGCGCAAGTCGGGCTCTAATCCCCACCGCAGCTACGGACTTGACAGTACACAGACCGCAGTTTGAGGCGCAAGTTCGTGTGCAACAAGCCTCGGAGGGGCAGGTGACACTCTCGGATTCTCTCCCCCGTAGAAGAGCCCCCAAGAAATCTGCTTGGGGCGGGCTTTTCAGGGCCTTCCTGGCTCTTGCCCGTCCTTTCTGCAGCTCGCGGAGCTGGCGGAGGCCTTTGCCCAGCTGAAATTCCAGGCGCGGACATGTGCGACGACGATCTGGCCCCACTGCTGAGCCGCCACTCTGAGGACTACTCCTTCCTGGAGATGGCATCCTTCCAGGTGGCCGGAAGCTGGCGCCATGCGACAGATGGCAGCAGTTCCTCAGGCGGCGGCGCTGCTGAGGGAAGGCCGCGCAGGTCCAACACCGCACATGGCTTGGAGAGAATTGGGGCAGCTTGGTTGAGGGTGAGGCGGAGGCGGGGGGCCCTTTCTGCAAGCCCGATTTTCCGAGTCCAAGGCCAGCTCTGGCGCTGCTGTGCAGGGCCTGTGCACGCTTGAAGGCTAGCTGAAGCCCCGAGCCCTAGCCCTTCATGTCCTCCGGCTGCAGCTCGAAGGTGCACGAAGTTCAGCTTTTCGAGGCATCGCATCCGAGCTGCAACATCTACTTGCGTACGCTGTCGTACACTGTCGTACACGTGCTCCTGGCAGGCCGTCCTCGCTCACGTCTCTGAGCATTGGTGCAGCCTGGCCTGAGTCAAAGAGTGGATGCTTTCTGGTCAGAGACAGGTACGATTATCCGGCCTCGTGCCTGGCTGACATCGGCTTGGCCCTGGCGCCTGTGATGCCCACCTCAGAGCCTGTGATGGATGTGCCGGCTGCTTAGCTTTGGTTCCTGCATGGCAGGAGGCTATGCCCGCAAAGAAACAGCTCCCCGAGGTATCGCAGGATGCTCAGCCAGATCCGTCAGGATCGCGATACTTTGAGCTTGAGGCAGGGCGCATCCCGTGCTTGTAAAATCGATGCTTGGGCTTGGGGGGCCTCCATGCAATGCTACAGGCAGGTTGGCACAGCCGTCCGCTTCATGGCAGAAGTTGATCACAAGGGGGAGTTCATGCCCGGCTTGGCCCAGGCGTGAGCAATGCTTCTGTGGCTCGGCCATGGCTTTATTCGCGCAAATGCGCAGGTACTTGCACGTCGTCTCATGGACTTGAGAGATGAGACCAAAGAGTGTGCCACTCTCATGGCATGAAATCGGCTACGGGAAAGCAGCATCGATGTACAGGCTATGATGTGGCCCGAGTTGCGGAGATCTTCTCGAGACGATGCATGCCGCTGAGAAGAGGAGCCGTCATACAGGCAGAGCTCTGATCCGATGAAGTGCGTTGAGTTGAGTGCCAAGGTCCAGAGGAGCACGCGTTGTTCTCGACGCTTTGTCGGGCACTCCTTGATCAACTGCTCGGAGTGCACCAAAGCCAGACACGTTCAGGCCGGCACCTGCATCGTCACCTTGGCTTCTTTGAACCCGTGGACTTCGTTCGATTCGCTCGAGGCCGCGCGGGTAATGCCGTACGGCACAAATCAGTTTGCGCAGTCGCCTTAGGCTTAGCAGCAGCGGAGTGGCTGGGCTGCAATGAATGGGACTGACCCGTGCGGAGTTCCCTGTCCGGCCGTGGTCGATGTGTGTTGTTGCGCATTTGGTGAAACACAACAGAAATGACATCATACGAGTATGCAGGTATCGCGATGATCGGGTCGCCCATGCACTTCCCAAGTGGGTCCGCGACTTGCAAACACGCTCAGGCATTCGTAGGGCAGTTCAGGGCCATCAGGAGCTTTGGAAGCAGCTACATGCAGCTACCACCACAACTTGATGGCTCGCGCGGCAACAGGAGCTCATGAAGCGGTTCGGTAGCTTCGGTTCGCTTGCTTTGGAGGGCTGTTTTTGACAAAACTCGCACGATGCACAGAAAGCAACTGAGCACGCTGAAAGCTCCCAGGCCGAAAAGCGGCTCCGGGAGTTCTCTCCGCACGACTGGGCACTGCTGGCATGGCCAATACCTCCTTGGTGGATCTTTGTGGATGTACATCAATCCTATGTGTGCATTCTGTGCTTGCATGTTCTATGTGCAGCAAATAGATCAATAGGCTAATGAATGCAAACTTGCAAAACTATATGGGCCAATCGATGGGCTGGTAGCATGGAGGTTATCATTGTTTGGCCATGGATGCACTGGCCAATGGATGGGCTGGTAGCATGGAGGTTATCATTGTTTGGCCATGGATGCACTGGCCAATGGATGGGCTGGTAGCATGGACGTTATC